TTCTCTTATCTCTTATCTCTTCTCACTTCTCCCAGCTCCATCTTGAACCAAGCTTGAAGTCTCTTCATGATCTTCTTGAAAACCTGCATAAGGTTCAACTTATACACCACAACTGCTTAAGTAGATTAGACACTTAAATCCACTCAGCTCCATTAATGATCATAGACATCACGCCTGATGAAAGGTATGTGACAATCCCATTGCCATTCTGAATTTCCATCACCTTCATCTAGTGTCTTGAGTTGCGAACCCAGCTGCTCAACTCTTCATTGACGTCGTGTTACTTTATATCTTCATACTCCTCGTGAACTTCTCAACAACACAACCTTACTTTCAAAATCACGAACATGTTCAAGTGATTGAACATAAACTTGAACATCTTTCTGCAAGTTGATTTTCTCCTTGGCCTTTCGATTCCACTCATGCGCATTGAGCCTTGAATCAAAATCCTTCAATTCTGTGCAACAAACCTTCGAACCATATATGCTTCAATCTTGAAACAACCTCTGATTCTCTACCTGTTTAAGACGCTACAGCCCTGAACACCTTTGTACCGCTGTTACTCTGAACAGAACACGCCATCCAACCATCACTGCTGAACAGAATTTCGACACAACCTGGTGAAATCACCATGCTTTAACAGAACCTTGATGTCACACTGAACCCTTTAGAATCAACCGCAAACCTTGAAGTCACTCATGCTCCATATCTCTGAAACAGTCTTTGACTTACCCTTAATGTTCTTAAACAGACTGCACTTGAGCATCACTTTGTACCGCTGGACACTTAAGCAGGACACGCCGCCTAAAACCATATGATTAGGAAGACTATCGACACAAATATCTTTGCTCCACCATCTGATCAAACTGTTTTGCAACAACATAACATGCACTAACAGATTTAGACCCCACTGCTAGTTGAATGAACTGAGCCTCATACCATCTAGTCCATGATACGCCTTGGCTCTCCTTCACAAGCTGCCTGTGATATCTTATCTAGAATCCCTGATATCCCTCCTTTACTGAGCTGTGAATCCATTCCCTCAATACCCTTCTTGTACTGAGATGTCTCCAAAAAACCGAAACATGTGCATCACCATAAACGACTTGAACACACCTGTTACTCGTTGAACTTGCCATTAGTCTGATGAGTACCTGGCCACCAATGAGTATTTGGCCATTACCTAATGGTCTTCCCTGAAGAGACTTCCTCAATCTTCCCATGTGATGCGAACATATATCTTGAACTACATATGTTCCTTTCTTTAAATGCAATCGGTTTTTCTTTGCATTTAAACCTTCATGAAGCTTCTTTCAGTTCCATGACTTGAGCTTAATATGAGCCTACTTGTGGAGAACAAGTCTTACCCTTCCTGAGATGGACAAACTGTAAGACAATTCCCTGCAATTCCTACAATGTCTTCTAACAGCTTCTTACTTTGTTCCATCTCACCATTCTTCATCTTCACTGCTCAATACTTCAGTTTAACTAAGCACTTCACCACGTTTTATCTTGCATCATACTCGGCTCCTCTGTATCACCTTCACTGCAGTGTACTTTTGATACATATGCCGAATTCACTTGTCTCACCTACAAGTAACCTTATGTAAGACTTCTCTTACAAACTTCTTCTGATGCGCCTTGTACTTGTTAACTGATCTTGACACTTCTGGCCTTGACATCCTGAACCTATTCACGACCCTCTCATCATGGAATCAAGTTCCCTTTCAACTCTTACTCTCTTGAGCTGATCAAGTTGCTAACCAAAACTTTTACCCTTCAGCTGAACCAATAAGGACATCTTCTAAAACAGAAAATCTGTGACTCACTCCACCTGGAATCAAATTATATATCCTTGATGCATCATTCCTCATATAATCTCAGTGGCTCCACCTGAATCAAATAACCTTTAAGTACCATGTCTCTGGGAATTAACCAAGTTTCTGCAACTGTTCGTGGTTCCTGTCGGCCTTAGACAATTTCTCTCATCATCAACATCTGTGATGCTCCTGAGAGAATCCTTACAGCTTCTCCTGTGTCAGACTCGAACCCATGACGAGTTTCTCCAGCTGTAATTATGCTTGAACCATAACCTGTTCAATCAAGAAGTTTCGACCTGGTCAAGTCTGCAAATTTCTCCTATTGCTTCTGAGCACCGATTTTTTTCTGAGAGCTCCACCGTGACCCCTCTAGTCGTGACACCAGAACGGCGTCCCTCACTTCTCCTCTGAGTCTATTCATCTTGAACTTCCAACTCAGACATCCATGACGATTCCTCTAAGGTATAACTCACACATGCTTCTACTAGCTGTGATAGCGACTTCATGCTTCTTAAACAAGTGTTGATGACTGTTGCCTCATACCCTTTACTCTCAGGATTACAATCAGTCGTAGCAACCTGTTCAACCCGATTCTGCCTGCGCATTTTCCTTTGCCTTTGACAAGAATCTTCAAGCTAAGTCTAACCTTGAATCGTCTTTTCTCTTAGGTTTTCCTGTCACTCACACGACCGCACTAAAGCTGCTCCATGTTGTTACCACAAATCACCATTTGCTCCAACATACCCTTGTGTAGGCTTTTACACACTTTGTCCTTGATATAGTTGTTTCTTCATGGAGGTACAACCTGTCTTAGTCACACTAACTTGGTGACTCCTCTGGCTTTCTTCAAGTAGCCAAAAACTTTGCCTCTCATGCACCCACGAGGTTGACTTGAACTGATCCAAAACAGAATTACCTCTGCTTCGTCATATTGTTGTCACACGACAACCAACCTGTGCAGCTGCAAGATCCGTTGATCATCTTTCGCAAAGACAACCTGCATGATCTCTGAAAAACTTAGTCCCTGAGAGATTGATGACCTTTGGTTTCGTCTCCTTAAGCCTAGATTTGACTTAATATGAGCCTGTCTTAACTTGAGATATCCTCCATTCCAGATGACTCAAATCAATCTAACACTAATCACGAACACGCCCACCTGTTCAGCTGTTCTTGCGGCAGCTTACGCGGGTCTTCCCTTTCTTGCAAACACCGCTGCATCCCTTGCAAGTCTCTCATCATGATTTCTCAAACCTGAAACCATCACGTGCATTTAGATCCTCCTGTGAACGTTTCTTCCTCTGTCCCTCCCTGACGTTGTCTCTTTTCTACCACAAACGAACGCCATCTGCTTTCTCTGACGCTACATATCTTAAGCATCATCTCTGGTATATCTCACATGATGTGATTGTGACTACAAATCTACTGATTCTTCTTCTCCAGAATTTATCCATCTGATGTCGATGGTACTTTGAAGCTCTTGCGGAACCTGAATCACCACTGCCTCAAACCAGAAGCCCTTTGACTCAATACCTTAACAAACCTCAACAACCTATAGACACCAAACTTCTTCTCCTGAGAATTTCCTTTGTAACAACCTGAATGAACACCTTATCTTGAACATCTCTCTGAACCGCTGCTGTTGCCAACAGAACCCGCCGCTTAGCTCAACTTGCTAAGAAGTCTTTAGACGCAAAGAATCCCTGCTCAACCTCTGCTCAAACAAATCATTACCTCTCTGCAACCGTGATACCTTGTAGACCCATTTGTTTCTCCTCATATGTCTGAGAATCCAAAACAAACTACTACTGAACCCCATGCAGAAAATTCGAAACAATGAGAAACTGCAGATTGTAAATGGAAGGCACAGGCGTGCAACATGTGTGTTAAATTTCATAATTTAGAAAACAAATTTAATTATAAAATATATTATATATATAAATAATATAAATAAATATTCATCTTTTTCAAAAATAGTTTTAAAAAAATTGAATTTGAAAAGAAAATTTAAAAAAAAATTTGAAAAACAGAAAAATTTGAAATAAATAAATTTGAAAAAAAAAAGTTGAAAAAGAAAATTTGAAAAACAATATATAAAAAAATTCTAAGTTGAAAATTTAGTTTGAAGTTTAGGAATAAAATAACTAAGGTATGGATAACATATTAAAATTTAGAAATTATTTAAATAAAGAAATTAACTAATTTTAAACTTCAGAAAGAAAACTAAATTTTAAATGTAAACAACAACTAATAATATATTTTAAATATTATCCACAGTTTAGATACTTTATTCCTATAACTTAAAATAAAATAGAAATTTTAAGATTTATTGTGATTAATTTTGAAGATTTTTTAAATTTTCATTCGAACTTATAAATAATTTAGGTATTAAAATGAGTAAAGTTTTTAAATTAATTATGGTAAAATGAATAAATAATTAATTTAGGTATGAATTGGATGATAAAAAAGTTTAGGTATTAAAAAGTTTAATGATTTTTAGTTGATATATTTTCATGGATTTTTTCAATAATAAATTAATAAAAGTACATATAATTTATTAAATTAAATATAAATTCAAACAATTCAATATTTAAATTATAGAAAAACATTTTAAGAAAAAATAAATTATTAAAATAGATAATCCGCGCGTAGCGCGGAGAAAGGATCTAGTCTTTAGTTTATTTTAGAATTTTTAGAGTAGGACAATTTAATCGGCCAATGAGAGAGCGTTATGTTGCCACGTAATCACGGCTTTAGGCTAGACAATTTCCCGGTTCTTCTAAACCGACTTCAGAAACCCTAATATCCCACGTAGTTTCAATCACTTATTCTCTCCGATTCCCCTCCTCGCAATCTCCATCACCACTCACAATCAGACATCCTATATACAATTTCTTGGTTTCAATCAAAATCCAGAGAATCCTCTCAAGACTCTAAGAAGTGGAATCGGTGAGAAACCCGATGTAAAATCTCCACCGATCAAACAACCTGTATCTCCTCCCTTGTAAATTGCGGCCTATCTGAACTAACTTTTTACTCCATTTCTTGGTGGGATTGCAGAAGATGGACGAAGATAATGAGGAGACAAACAAAAGAAAACATTCTCACGTCTTCTAATATACTTTTGTGGAAGTTGAATTTTTATTGTCCTGTAATTGATTGTGTATTGTGAAAGTTGGGGAGATGGTGGTTGAAGATGAAGTGCAAACCAATGCGAAGCAACTGAATACTAGAAAACCTAAAGTATGCAAGCAATACTAGGTATTTAAACAACTGCTAATGTTTCTTGATGTAGAGATTCTGCTAACTGATTTTAAACATTGTGTTATGCAGATGAACACCAGTGAGTCAACTTCTCAGGTCATAGCTGAAGCAGAAATCTCTGTGAAAGAAAAGTCTTAGTGTGTATTAGGTTGTTCGTAGGGACTTGGCAGCTGTGGCATATGTATTCATTTTTCAATCTTATGTCTCTGGCTGCTAATACTGTCGAGTCTGTCTTTTTCTATTACCCAAGTGGAAAGCATTTGCGTAATATTCCTTGAGCGGGTCAGAAATCATCTTTAGATGTGATTTTACTTTTCGAGTATAAATATAAGGTAATGTATTTATGTCTTGATGGTTAATTCATCTTCTACATCTTAACAGGATGGTGGTCTTAATGATTCAGACAAGATAGCTGCATTTGATTTTGATGGATGCCTTGCAAACACATCTGCAAAAAGGTAAGAAGCCACTCGGTCACTCGGAATTTTGCTGTTCTTCTCTGTTTCCAACCTCTTACAATGTTCATTTGTGATTTCCAGTAAGGCAATCACATATTATTTTCGTTTACCTCTTTCTCAGAGTAGGCGCAGATGCATGGTCGCTTATGTATGATTCTATTCATGAGGAACTGCAAAATCTTTATAGTCAAGGCTATAAGCTGGTACCTTCTTTTCATTTTGAATTCTCTCTAATCCAACTGTCTCAGTTTGTTTGTATAGAGATACTGATTTTAAATAGCCATCAGGTGATTTTCACACATGAGACTAACATTGCTTGGTGGAAAAACAAAAGACAAGCTGCTGTGGACCCGAAAATTGGACGACTCAACAGTTTTATTAAACATGTGGAGGTCTCCATTCAGTTGAAGTGCGGTTTGGTTTTGCATAACTAACAACGTTATTTATCTTCTCAAGTACACTGCTTCAACAAATCCTAATTATTATGTAGAGTAATTAAAAGAATCTATTGCAAGTTATCATAAGCTAACGTTTAAACTTTTCAATGTTTCAAAACTGTTAATTCTCTGACATGTTGGTATCTGAAAATTGTTAATGGTTTCGTTCTGGAAGCAGGTGTTTATAGCCTGCGGAGTCGCAAGTTCTGGTGGTAATGATGACTTTTACCGTAAACCCAAGCCTGGAATGTGGCAACTCATGAAGTTTGTTTTCTCCCAACTTGCTCTTAAAATTTTTGATTTACTTGTGAAACTTCTAGCAAGGCTGGAAGTTTGTTTTATCCGTTTGTGTTTTCTCTAGCACTTTGTTTTGGTTTATATTAACTTCTATGTCATCAGATCGTTATATGTTGGGGATGCAGCCGGAAGAAAAGGCGATCACAGCACAAAATTGCAGAGATATTTGTTACAGACATTAATTAGGCATTTCAGCTGTATTCAACTTTACTATTTTCTTTGGTTGCAGGCGAATGGATTGAAGTTTTTTACTCCGGTGTCAGCTGTCAAGTCTTGTGCATTATGTTCCCAGTCAAGTTTTGTGCGTTATGTTCGCAGTCTCTTTTGTCAGGTGCTTTTTGTGATCAAACTATCATTTTTTTCTTTTGTTTTTTTTTTTTGAGAAATTTACTATGTGATCCAACTACCATCAGTGTTTGTTTAATACTTAACAGTCTTTATATGACACTTGCCTGTTGTATTTAACTACAACACTTTTTCGTATATGGCATTGCCATTTTAACATCAGCTTAACAACGTTATACCGCCTACTAATCCAAGAAAGTAGAAGAACAAGCAACTAACAAACCACTGACAACAAAAAAATACTTCACGATGTTGAAAAATAATATTAATTTTTAGTTTGGATCAAGTTTTATTCAATTTTGTTTCTATTATGAAACTTTTCAATTTGGTATTAGAACTCAATGTTTTTAAGCTAAAAAAAAAAGATTAAATCAGTTGTAACTTTCACAATTGTTATATACAAAACCTAAATAAATAAAATAAAATGTATTAAAATCATAACTATAGGTTTAGTTAATTTTTATTACTTATCATTTTATATATGATTTCCAATAACAACAAACAACAAAATGTGAGTTTATATTATTTATCTTTACTATTATTTGAGAAATGAATTTGTTTAGTTGTCAATTTCTCCATGATTTTAGACACTTTTGTTAATTTTTTATGTTTTAATAATTTCATATATAATTTATTATATAATAAAATCGATTTTATTTTAATAATATTATATTTTAAAAAAAATAATTTAATTCTTCTGTATTAGATTGTTTTCTTAAAAATATATTTTATATTGTAAAACTTAAATGAATTTTCTAATGATTTGAGACTTTTCCGCAATTTAAGTAATTCTTCTTATTTTTCATGTTTTTAATAATTTCATAGATAAATATTATATAATAAAATAAATTTATATTAAACATATTATATTTTTCAAAAAAAAGATAAATATTATGTATTATATTGTTATTTTGAAAATATAATTTTTCTTACATCAATTAAAAATTAAGATAATAAAAAAATATAATTAAATATAAATCTAGCAATGGTGATTTATCAACCTCTCCATAATTTTAGATAATTTTCATATTTTTATGTTTTAATAATTTCAAGCAAACACATATAGTTATACATTTATATAAGACATGAGACAAGAATACCAACCAGATTAAAATTACTTCTAATTTAATTGTTCAAAATAGATAGTACTATATATACACAATTTATTTTCACTATAAATACAACTAATTAAAAAGTAACTAAAAATATACGAATAACCTGGGCGTAGCACGGGAAAGGTTCTAGTAAAAGTAAAAGTATTGTTTTTAAAAAGAAACTATAAAAAAAAATTTTAAAAAGAAAGAAAGACTGAAAATATAATATATATATATATATATATATATATAATGCATGAAATGAATAATAAGCAAGAGATAACATATTTGTTATTTTGCCTAACTTGTGTTAGAAAATTGTTGTTTTAACGTAACAACTTATATTTGAAGTTTGAACATCTGAATTTTTATCAGTGTGTGTTTTTTTATAAACGACATCTATGTATTTTTATAAAAATAATTATTTTTTTTGTTTTTGGTCAACTATAACGATAATAATTTGTTTTTTTTCTACAACAATAAAACTAAACTATGATATACGCTCTATCGGTCCAGGAACCAAACCAGAGTCGTAGAATAGACATAGAACATAGCAGAAATGAAATCTATTACTATTAAAAGGGGCAAAACAAAGCATATGGGATTATCCACATAGGCACTTTTAATCAACCAATCATATTGTTTTAAACATCCATGTCATCTTCGGTTTGACATCTGATTTTGGTTTAAAAAAATTAGGATGTTCGGTTTGGTTTTCTAAAATACTGGTTTGGCAATCGATTCGCTTCCACGACTCCATCTTCTCCGTTTAAGCTTCTCCCCATCTTGAATGCCTCTTTTACTCAGATCCCTCTTTACTCCCTTTGTTTCTTGGCTTATATAATCATACTCCAAATCTTTGATCCACACAAGATCCATTCATGGCAATCAAAACGGCGAAGCAAAGCGATCAGGAGGCTCATCCCTTCCGACAACAGAGATCTTAGGTTGTTCTTGATTTTTTTATTTTCATTTAACGTTCACAGAATCGCATGATCTAATTTTCCGAGTTGTTCATAGCCATCCTTCATGTCTACTCAGAAAAGTTTGAAGCTTGAATCAAAAGACAGCCTTGGAGAAGTTTACAAGACCCCAGATGCAATTCATTAAGTGGAAACAACCACTTCATTTGGTTCTTTTCAACTGAATTATGGTTTTGGATTTGAGCCTTTTGGTTTTGCTTGTCATGCTGTTACTCAGAACGCTTGACAAGACAATTTTGAATCTTGAAATGGAATTAAAAGGGGCAAAACAAAGCATATGGAACTGTCCACATAGGCACTTTTAATCAACCAATCATATTGTTTTAAACATCCATGTCATCTTCGGTTTGACATCTGATTTTGGTTTAAAAAAATTAGGATGTTCGGTTTGGTTTTCTAAAATACTGGTTTGGCAATCGATTCGCTTCCACGACTCCATCTTCTCCGTTTAAGCTTCTCCCCATCTTGAATGCATCTTTTACTCAGATCCCTCTTTACTCCCTTTGTTTCTTGGCTTATATAATCATACTCCAAATCTTTGATCCACACAAGATCCATTCATGGCTATCAAAACGGCGAAGCAAAGCGATCAGGAGGCTCATCCCTTCCGACAACAGAGATCTTAGGTTGTTCTTGATTTTTTTTATTTTCATTTAACGTTCACAGAATCGCATGATCTAATTTTCCGAGTTGTTAACTATATATCTATAACTGTAAATTTACTTAACTGTCTTTTTATGGTTTGATTCATCTTATGTGAACTATGCTTTTTCGATCCAGCACCCGTTGTTACAAAAACTAGGAGAAGAAATTGTCTTCGTGCGCAGAGAGGAGGAAAAGCGTCAATTCCGAGTATGTGTGTTAGTCAAAACAAGGATTTGTAGACAATCACCGTGTGTGTTATTGAACTAACAAAACAAACCTCTTTGTTGTGTTTTTCTGTAAACAAGAGCAGAAACGACTACAAGGTCAGCTTGCTACAGAGAAAGAAGCAAAGTATGGTTCAAAGCCTGCAAAGAAGAAACCATTGGGACAGAGTCTTAACACAAATAATGTGACTAAAACACCATTTGCTCGTCGGATTGGGACACACCTGGAAGGTCTGGTGTCAAAGATTATATAGAGAAAGCGGAAGAGGCAATGCCAACGCAATACCATTGAACATGTTGCTTCCTCTTTGCTTTATCTCAATTGTTATGTTTCTTGTCATTTCCTCACTTTCTGTTATGTACCTCTGCAGCCACGCTCGGAGCAGAACTGGCAAGATACAGGATGAAGCCTCGAGTCTACATTGGTTGCATGAAGTCTGGACCTATTCTTGCTGCTCAGAAGTAAGCCTTTCACCTGGTTTGAAGAGATTTACTTTTTCTCATTACAATGTTTTGTTCCTTATTCATTTCTCATTTGCATTATTAGAGGTGTGAAATATCATGAACCGGAGTACTGGAAATTCAGAGAAGAGGGTAACAAGTACTTCCGCCATGCTACTGGTCAGCTCTACGCAATTTCCAGGGAGCTGGCCTTTTACATATCAATAAACCAGTAAGTTCTTTCCCATAGACATACGCTCATATGTTGATTGTGTGTTAACCATGAACAAACTGTGTATACAGAAACGTACTTCACAAGTATGTGAATGAGGATGTGTCTTTAGGATCATGGTTTCTTGGAATAGATGTGGAGCATGTAGATGACCGTAGGCTATGTTGTGGTACAACAGGTACAAAAAAATAAGAAAACAAGTTCCTTTATTTATATGTTCATGTATAGTAGTTTGATCAATGAGAAACTGCAGATTGTAAATGGAAGGCACAGACGTGCAACATGTGTGTTAAATTTCATAATTTAGAAAACAAATTTAATTATAAAATATATTATATATATAAATAATATAAATAAATATTCATCTTTTTCAAAAATAGTTTTAAAAAATTGAATTTGAAAAGGAAATTTTAAAAAAAAATTGAAAAAAGAAAAATTTGAAATAAATAAATTTGAAAAAAAAAATTTGAAAAACAATATATAAAAAAATTCTAAGTTGAAAATTTAGTTTGAAGTTTAGGAATAAAATAACTAAGGTATGGATAACATATTAAAATTTAGACATTATTTAAATAAAGAAATTAACTAATTTTAAACTTCAGAAAGAAAACTAAATTTTAAATGTAAACAACAACTAATAATATATTTTAAATATTATCCACAGTTTAGATATTTTATTCCTATAACTTAAAATAAAATAGAAATTTTAAGATTTATTGTGATTAATTTTGAAGATTTTTTAAATTTTCATTCGAACTTATAAATAATTTAGGTATTAAAATGAGTGAAGTTTTTAAATTAATTATGGTAAAATGAATAAATAATTAATTTAGGTATGAATTGGATGATAAAAAGTTTAGGTATTAAAAAGTTTAATGATTTTTAGTTGATATATTTTCATGGATTTTTTCAATAATAAATTAATAAAAGTACATATAATTTATTAAATTAAATATAAATTCAAACAATTGAATACTTAAATTATAAAAAAACATTTTAAGAAAAAATAAATTATTAAAATAGATAATCCGCGGAGAAAGGATCTAGTAGTAATAATAATGATTATTGTTTGTTTATAAGTTATCGTTTTAAATAAAATAGAATAGAGGGAAAAAATGATAAAATTGGGTTTTTACTTAATGGGCCAAATATAAATTGTAAATAGTAAGGCCGATAAAAGGGAAAACAAGTCACAAAAGTGAACTCGGGTTGAACCGGTTTGTTTGTTTCTCCTTCTAATGACCTCGTGCAAAGGGTTTCCAGATTCATCAGCGTCGAACAAAAGTAGAGGCGAGTCGAGTTATTTTCGTATCCTTATCCAAGTAATATGTTTACCAATAATCGATCTTTATGTGATTTTGATTTTGATCGCATCGCAGCAACCGCCGTTCGCGTGTTCTCCCCTGTAAAGCGGAGTTTTTGGTCTATTTTGTTTTGTTATCTAAGTGTGTTGAGGAAAATAGATAGGATCATCAAAACCTACGGATTTAGAGAATAACATCTCAGGCTTCCTGTTATGTAGGGTTTAATTTTTTGAGTTTTGAAGTTATGACCTAGTCAAAATTTCCCAGCTAGGAAGATGGTTTGTATTTGTGTTTCGTCTATCACATATTGTGTGATTCTGACAGGCATGGCTCAAACTGGGTGCGCTAGATGCTCATCATCAGAGACTCCTCCTGATGAGCTAGTTATTAGCAGCGATTGCGGCCACACATTTTGCGGTGAGTCCGAGTTCAAATATAGATAGATTATTAGTCATTTCTCTGATTATTAAAAAAAAAAAAAAACTCTTCCAACTCTCTCTGGATTTGCCTCAATAATATGCTCTTCTAGATACAACTCTTTTTTTTTTTAAACTGCGGTGATGAAAATTATGAGGTTCATTCTTTTCTTATTTTTTTTTGAATTCCAGTAGAATGTATATTATACCTTTGGTCACGCCAGAAAGATGGAGAAGCACCTTGCATATGTCCATTTGATGAGAAAAAAGTGACTTGGATACGTCCTTCTTCCATTCCCGTTCCCGAGAAGATTAATTCCATCGTCAAAGTTTATAACCGTCTATACGATCCATCGAGTCCCTACGTAAGCTTTTTTTTCTTTTTTTCTTTATTCTATTTTTAACTTATGCTGCTGCGTCTATTAACATTTATGTGTTTCTGTCTTTACTGGGGGAAAACATCTAGGCCAGAGCCCGTGGTAATTGTTTTTTTACTTGTATTTGAATTGTCTTGTTCTTGTTCTTGAACCTCATAACTCTCCACCTTGACGGGTTTTGTAGGCATTTTAACCCGACGGCTGTACGTGGTGAATCTGTCTATTTTCTTGGGTGGACTATTTGCTCTTGCCGCCAAGGTTTATCGTCATGGACGACAATAATTTGTGTTCTGCTCTGAATAAGGCTCCTTTACTTTTAGACATTTTGGTTAATGATGATGAGATATTTGGTGCTGGTGACTCAAGTTGACAGTTTCACTCTTGTATTAACTTCCTTTTTTTTTTTTTTTGCTTTAAGGTTTATTTCTGTGATGCATCACGAATTTAGGTTCTAATTTCTTTCTACTAATATTACTTTTCTTTTTTTTTTACATTGATAAACCAAATATTTAATATTGCAGTCATAATATAACTGCAAGTTAAATACTGAATAAACATAATTTTTTGGTATATTAACCGGGAGCATAAGGATATTAATTCCTGGATATGATCGTATACTAGAAACAAGAAATGAAGAATCCTCTGAGTCCGGGTCAAGCACCAGTCTCATGGATATTGACTAAAGGATGTACTTCCTCTCCTATCAAAACCTGTATTGAAGATGCCATTACGGCTTCTAGTACTGGTAATTTCCCAGCAGAGAGCATCCTGAACACAATCGACGAAAGAGATAGAATTTTTGGCACACCTTCCTATTGGTCGGGTGCAGGACACCACAAGAGTTCCGTGCCCGAAACTCTTCTTTACAAGTTGAAGGGTGATTTGTGTGTCATTACTGAACTCAGCATCCAGCCTTTCCAAGGTGATGACCACCATGCCATCATCCTTCATAATTGATCTCTTTGTTTCTTAATGCTTTCTTTGTTTTCTCCTTAGCATATTTTCATCTTTCATAGGGCTTAGTTCTTTAATTTACTTGGTATATAAAGTTTTATTAAATTACTCATTGAAAAATTATTTTGGATGGCTTTTCTAGTTTATTTTCACAAAATAACTCTCAATGAGAAAAATAACCAAAATAAGTTTTTATTAAAGGGTAAATATACACTTATACACTTAGTTTAACTAATCTAGACTTATAATTTGGCATCACTTCAGAACTCGTAATGTATTCTCAAGGCGATGAAAGATGCGATTTTTTAATCACGGTGAAGATGGTTTCGATTGGGAAGATCTTTGTGATTCTTATGAATCGAATCACAGAGGGGTTGGATCTCGACAGGATTTTCGATGGATTGGTATTAAAGGGATCGTTGGAAAGGTGGCTTTTGGGACAACGATGGAGATTTTTCTGGGGATTTCCCAGTCTGATGGTTTTCATCTATTATGGAAAGGGAGATTCTCCCGATCGTTTTTCTTTATTTCCTGGAGATCTGGTGTGAAAGGGATGCGAATGCTTCAAGGTTTAGACAAGGAAAGTGGTATCATCTGGAGTTTTCAATGGGATACTGAGGCTTCAGCAAGGTTTTCTCTTTTGTGTTGGGATAATCTGAGATTTCAATTACAGATTCGTCATTTACACTGGGATTTGAGAAGAATATCAAATTCTGAGAGGAATATCATTCTAGTATCTATTTTTGAAATTGTGATGCTGTTTATTTGGAGTATCTTAGGAATGTTAAATAATTGTTTTTCTAATGGAGTCGAGGTTTATGTGGTTTTGAGAAGGGAATCGGATCACCTCAGGATTTTTGGTATCTCTCGAGATTTAATTATTAACTGGCTATTTCCTACTTTAGGTTGCTGGGAATCAAAGACTTTATGTGGGAGTCTTGGTAACATTGTTAAGAGGCCTAGTGCTATATTTTTTCTTAATTGGTTTTATTATTCATTGGAGCACAAGATGGGTCTAAAGGTGTTTGCCTATTGGCTAAGATGGGACTGTTACTATCATCTGTGGCACGGTTCTGTAATATGGAACTGGTATGGGATACCGTTGTTTGTCATGGGATTTGACACAGATACTTCTGCGGTACAGGTGGAGAAAATATGTAGTTTTTGGTTCACTGTATGGTCGCTGGTTTCTGTTGGTCTACTGAAAAGATATTGTACTTGTCCTTCATTTCTTATTGGTTTCAGGAAGGTATTTATTCTATGGTTTGGTTTTACTATCTGTTCTACAGGTTCTCGTGTGGCTTTTGGGGAGAGTGGGGAGACCTGGGTATTACGCAATTTTTGCGATTTATTTAAGGATGGCTTATTTGAATGCCTGGTTAGGGACACAGTGTATGAAGGTTTGGGTATGATCCAAATGCAGGATCAGCTTGGCTGTTTGCTGGTATGGTACATAAGGTTTGGGATAATTCAGGTGCAAAGGAAAGGACGTGGAACAAGGAATTTTTTGTTTGTATTTTTAATTTTGTCAAACAGTGATGGAACATGCGTATTGATACTACTGAGTTTTATCTCAAGTTACTGTGGAAACGGTAAATGGGCTTACATGGAATTTCATTTTTTGTAATAATAAAAGCTTTATGTCTATGGGTTTCACAATTTTTACAAAAGTATTTTGTATGGATTTTCATTGATACTGGCTCCAAGGAATATTTACATTATTTTAGTAAGGTGATAAGGTGCAGTATTTTCCCTCGAAGGTCGGATAATGGGGATGTACCGTTTAAAATTATTAAACATGTACACTATTGTTGTTGGATTATTATTTGGGATTTAATGAAATGGATTTCAATATACATTGTTCATACGTGAACAACTTTGAAAATTTAATATCTATGAGTATACTGAGTTGGAACTATAGAGTGTGCGGGAAGTTCGGAAACAGTGCAACGTATTAGAGATTTACGGCGGTAGTATTTTCCAGATTTTTTATTCTTTATGGAGATTAAACAAAAGTTAGCTTATATGGATGCTTTAAAATCAAGCTTGGGGTATGATTTCTTACATACAGTAGAACCGATTGGTCGTAGTGGTGGTTTAGCTTTAATGTGGAAAGGCTGCTATACAGTAGAAATTCTTGATAGCGATAATAGAATCATTGATCTTAAAGTGACAATGGGTTCCATGATTTTTTTTCTCTCATGTGTATATGGAGATCCAGTAAGAGGAAGGAGACGTTTTGTCTGGGAGAAATTAACGGATATTGGTGTGGTTAGAGATGAGGCATGGATTTTGGTTGGTGATTTTAATGAGCTAATGCATAATGGAGAAAAATTGGGAGGTCCTATTAGAGAAGAGACCACTTTCTTTGATTTTAGGAATATGGCAAAGGCATGTAAAATACGGGAAATGAGAACCACCGGAAATACCCTCTCTTGGGCAGGTATGCGTGATCATAACTGGATACAATGCCAGTTAGACATGAGCTTTGGTAATGATGAGTGGTTTCGACTTTTCTCAATCGTCAACGGACTATATGAGTATGTGGCCGTCAGATCATCGGCCTCTACGCGTTGAATTCGCTCTTGAACCTGAGAATTTGCATAGAGGACGATTTTATTTTGATAAACGTTTATTTGGTAAAAGAGGGGTAGATGAAGCTATTATTCTAGGATGGGATGCAGAAAATATTAACTCAAATCTCAGTGTTCTTGAGTGGATTGTTCGGTGTCGGTCGGAATTGTCCAAGCTTAAAAAAACAAACGATTGGAATTCAAAAACAAGGATAGATCGATTGCAAATTGATTTGGATAAGGAGAGTTCCAAACAATTCCCTATCTATGGTTTATTAAGGAGATTAAGAATGGAGTTGGCAGCGGCATATAGGGAAGAGGAAATCTTTTGGAGGCAAAAAAGTAGAGAAGAATGGTTACGGGAAGGGGATAGAAATACAACGTACTTCCATAATGTGGTTAAAGGGAAGAAAATTAGAAATAAAATTTTGATGCTTAAGGATATATTTGGCAATGAAAATTATTCTGAAGGGTCTAAAGGACATATTGCTACTGAATATTTCAGAGATTTGTTTACTAGTTCAAACCCAAGCGATCTAGAAACTTTGTTTGAAGGCTTTGAAGGTAGGGTTACTCCTGAGATGAATACATTATTAACCAGAGAGGTCTCTTCTGATGAAATCAAAAAGGCAACTTTTGGTATTAAGAGTAGTAGTGCCCCGGGTGAAAATGGACTTACCGGTTTTTTTTACCCAAAATACTGGCACATTGTGGGACCGAAAATTATTGATGATGTTCAAGGTTTTTTTAAAACAGCCATTATTCCTCCTGGATGGAACCATACACAGCTGTTTTTACTACCGAAAATTTTACATCCTACGGAGATGAAGGATATACGGCCCATTAGTCTTTGTAGTGTCCAATATAAGAAAATTTCTCGGATTCTATGTGAACGTTTGAAGGTCATTATGCCACACATAATATCAGAAACTCAAGGGGCATTTGTTGAAGGCACACTAATTACGGATGACATCATTATAGCACATGAGTTAGTACATGGGCTACGAACAAATGATAAGATTGGTAAAGAAAGTATGGCTATAAAGACAGATATGTCTAAAGCCTTTGATCGGGTAGAATGGAACTTCCTTGAGGTTCTATTAGAAAGATTGGGATTTGATCGTACATGGGTTGTCTGGATAATGTCATGCATTACTACTGTCACTTTCTCGGTATTACTTAATGGACGATCCCATGGTTTTATTAAACCGGAAAGAGGAATACGTCAAGGAGATCCTCTATCCCCTTTTCTTTTCATCTTATGTACAGAAGCTTTAGTACACGTTTTGAACAGAGCTGAATCATTAGGGAAATTACATGGTATAAAGTTGGCTACCGGTAGCCCCTCAGTCCACCATTTGTTATTTGCTGATGATAGCTTATTGTTGTGTGAAGCTTCTATCAGGGATAGTGAGGAAATTATGAAATGTCTGAAACTTTATGGGGATGTCTCTGGGCAAATGATTAACCCCTTAAAATCATCCATCATCTTTGGAAAAAAAATAACAGAGGAAACAAAATTAGCGATAAAAAGAGTATTGGGGATAGAGAAGGAAGGGGGAGAAGGTTCATATCTTGGACTTCCTGAATGTTTTCAAGGATCCAAAAAAGACCTTTTAAACTTTATCAAAGAGAAATTAGATGGACGGTTACAAGGTTGGTATTCCAAAACTTTGTCGATGGGGGCTAAGGAAGTTTTGATAAAATCAGTTGCACTAGCCCTCCCAATATATGCAATGTCAGTTTTCAAGCTGCCAAAAGGTCTCTGTGAACGAATTACAAGTGCGATTATAGAATTTTGGTGGAGTAGTGGGATAAAAAAAGGAAGATTCCTTGGGTTTCTTGGGAAAAGCTATGTAAACCGAAAGAGCAGGGTGGTCTTGGTTTTCATGATATTGGTCGTTTCAATCAAGCTTTGCTCGGAAAGCAAGCTTGGCGAATTTGGAATAATCCGGAATCTTTGGTTTCTCGAATTCTTAAAGGCAAGTATTTCAAAAATGGAAATTTTCTGGATTGTGGTATGGGGACAAGTCCATCATTTGCATGGAGGAGTATCATGCACGGTAGAGAATTACTCAAAAAGGGCATGTTTCGGCATATTGGTAATGGGGCTGATACTAACGTCTGGGCTGAAAATTGGATTATTGATACTATTCCTCGTCCCCCAATGTACCGAGAAAATAGTCACATTAATTTAACATTAAAAGTGTCCGACTTAATTATCCAGGGGTCCAACCAATGGAATGTTAATTTGCTAAACCAGACTTTTACGTCTCAAGATGTTCAGAGGATATTACTCTTGAAACCAGCAATGGATTTTCAGGATTCGTTTAGATGGGGCTTCACATCAGATGGAGATTATTCGACTCGGAGTGCGTATAAATTTTTAGAATCTTTGGTAGATTATGATCATCCTCCGGAGCACTCTCTTACTCCTATTGAAAAACAATTGTGGAGCGAATTGTGGAAAACCAAAGCCCCACCTAAGATTAAACATTTCATGTGGCGTGCTTTATCTGGCGCGTTGGCTGTTAAGCAACGTTTGTCTACCCGGGGTATTCCTATAGACACCACATGTTCTTTCTGTGGTAACGGGGTTGAAAGTATCTGTCATGTTCCTTTTACTTGTGTTAAAGCACGGACCACATGGGAGCAATCGAATTACCCTGTACCTTCAAGAGGTTTCTCTCGGAATTCCACATTTTTAAATTTTGTGCATCTGATCAAGGTTGCTAAGAGCTCCACCACAGATATTCATACTCGAAAAATCTTCCCTTGGTTGTTATGGGAAATTTGGAAAGTTCGGAATGCCTTTACTTTTGAAACCAAGGTTATTGCGGCTACAGAGGTTGCCAGGAAAACCTATGAAGCATAATCATCATGGTTTGATACTTTCACAGAAAAGATGGATGGCGAGGCTAATTCCAATACGGAAATGGTGAGATGGAAACCACCACCTAGTGGTTTTCTAAAATGTTATATTGGATCATCATGGGTGAAACCTAACCACATTAGTGGCGCTTTGTGGGTTTTACGTAATGAAAATGGGGTCACAATCATGCATAGCCGTCGGGCATACTCCTATATGCGTTCAAAAACAGAGGCAGATTTATGGGCACTTTTTTGGGCGGTCGAGTGTTTACATAATCTACACTTCTCAAATATAATTTTTGAGACATCGTCCGACAACCTACATGACGCTCTCACAAAGCCTGATGACAACCAAAACTCCGGTTTTAACCATATCCGCCACAATATCACTTTCCTCCTCGCAAGGATAGACACTTGGAGCCTTGAACACGTTCTCCCTGAACGTAATGAAGCGGCAACGGCAATCGCTTTGAGTGTCACTCGTGATCAGCGTCAACAGTCCTACATCTCCAGATATGCTCCGGTGTGGCTTCATCATCTTCTCGCTTTGGAGGCTCATCCATAAGGGATTTGTTTTGGTGAGCTCCTATCATCTCTTTTTAAAATGTCTAATGACATCTCTTTACTTTTCTCTTCTGTACCGGTTCTTTCCTATGTTGTACTATCTGAACTACCAGTTTTATAAAAAAAAAGACTTATAATTTGGAGTTAAGAGTGGAGTTTTGGTCTTGGGATTTTAAATTTTAAAAAATAAAAAAATAAATATTACACATTTTAAAATAAATAGAGGCTATGTTGGTCATTTTATTTTTTAAGAGTTATTTTTGTGACAAAAACTTAAAAGAGACTATTTGAGAGAATTGCGCAAAATTATAACTAATGCTCATGTACCATGAAAATAAATTTAGGATACATTCTTATAATTTAAAGTGGTTAGATATTTTAAACAACACTAAACAAACAAAACTTAATTATATATAGCATTTATTGAAAAACTCGATATTTCATAAGGTTAATCCACAGATTTCAAAATAAATTAGAAAATATTTTTTTTTGTATTTATGCATAGTTACATCCAATACTGATATATGATGAATATCAAAGATTTTTGATCCTTTAGTTTTCCAATTTTCTCTAGAAAATAGAGATTTTATAGCTTCCTCCACCACTTATATA